GAAATATGTGCTTTTGAATTCAGTTCATCGCAATTATTCATTGATTTTAAGGAACAAATAACACTGAGAATTAAATAGCTTAAGCATCATTTAAGCAGAACATAGGAAGAGGAAGATGATTTTTGTTAATAAGATGGGAATTACATCAAATGTGAACAATAATTCCACATTTGAGAGTGGAATCTCTCCCAATTTAGCTTACTAAGCTAAGCCAAATTACTCAATCAATGTTCCTGATGATATTCCCTTCCTAATCTTCTCTTATTTATGGTATTACTTCTCTAACTAACTCACTTACATTCCTCCTCAAGACTATGCTAAATTATATTGCACTACCTTATATGCCCTTCATATCAAATCATAACGTTGATCTCCTTGCCTCCTCCTAGAAGATTTGAGTATCTCAATAGGAGCTAGAGAGAATACTCGTTGATTCCCTAACACTTTTGAGTCAAATGCGTCCTTACTTTTAAGTGTAAGATTGAAGTGTTTTTCTTTGGTATCTAGGAGAAGGATAGCAACTGCAATATCAGAAGTATAATCAGTTGTAAATTAAATTTATATATGGAGGTGCAGGGATTACACTTAAGACTTGTGGAGTAAGATCATTGGGACTCGGAACCCAGGGAATTTTCCTTAAGTATAACCTTCTTGATGGTGCTTCAGGGCCCAAAATTGCCATTTTGGTCCTGTATTTATTTGGGCTCAAGATGGCAAATATTGAAGTGACCTCGCGATGCCTACTTGGAAGCTTAGGATATAGGTGACTTTCCTCCAATTCTTTTCTTCATCTTCCAATGGTGTCTTGATGGAGTCTTTTTTCTTTGTTTTATGGTGTTCACTAGGTTCAATAAGTGTAGGGGTCTTGATAGATTATTGGTCCCCAAGGACATTGGGTGATCCTAGGAGATTTCCTTCTCATTTTATCCCCCAACAGGTATTGCAGATGCGTATCTTGTCACAGCCTTCAAAATAAGCTTTTCTTGGTGTCATGTAGTCCCCAAGGACTTGAAAATTTACTGAAAGCCATGGTATATATGTTCAAAATTTCAAATTACTACCACTTTCTTTTACCAGCTTCTGATATGGTTCTCAAGCCTGACCCCAAGTCCAGCCTTATTCAGGATGCTATGTTGTTAAGCTTACTTTTGCCTTGGTTGACCTGTGTGCTATTTAATAGCGATTGATGTCTGCTTGTGGAACGTAATTTTATTGGGCAGAATAATAGTTCAGATGTATTTTTGTTCAGTTCTTTTCTTAATGAGTAATACTTTAAATTTCTGCATGTGACAGCAAGTGGATATATTCATGACTGCATTGGCAACATTGGTGGAAGAAAGGTAATTATGATCTCTACTACCCCTAGCTGATGCTTCCGGGCATTGAAGGTTTTTAGTCGTGTGTCAAATGCTGGGATAAATTTTGCATAGCAATATTTTGGTCCTTTGATATTGGTTTTGATAACTAACAATTTAGATGGATTTTGTTTCTTTAGTGGATTATTTTTGAAGAAGCTTGATAAGAAATTGGAAAAGGCACTATTGCATTCGTATCGCAAGGTATGTCTCTCCTGTTTTTGTTATTTCTTCTGTTCTGACCTGGGGTGCCTATCCCTCATATTACTTCTGTTATTGCATTCATATCACAACGTATCTGATGAGAGAATAATTTTATGGTGTACTTGTTATTGTTTGGGTCAAGTTTTGCGTTTATGAATGAAGGAAGATGATTAGATAGACAATAACTTTTTGTCGAATCTTGCTGACCTAGTATATATAGTTTTGACATGCAATATAAGTGCTTTTTAGTGCTCAGCAGTGGGAATGTGTTTTTTCTTACTGTGGATTATGTTTCATAGGTGGTAATTTACACAGGATAAACAATTGCACTACTGGATATGCCTATATGTTTTGAAAAGGTCAAGTTAGTAAAAGGCAATGCAGAACATTTAACTCATCTTATATTATATATTATATATTATATATCTTGGAATACTATCCTTCATATTTATGTGGTAAGAATATGGGATGTATGTGTTCATCATGGCTCTATGGAGATGTTTTGGAAAATGCATTTTGTATCATTAGTTGTGATGTCTACTCTTGCGCAGCACATAATTGATGGTCTGTATCGACCTATATTGGCTTGGTAAGATTAGCTCAATATACACCTTTTACTGTGGGTAGGGACAATGTGGGTGTGCTGAGTTCAAATCAAGTGTCCATGGCACTGGGGCTACCCCGTGGCATTGCAATGGTTAAACCTAATTTTTCTTAAAATAAAGTTATTATAGAACCTAGGTAATCAAATTACTTTAATTTTGAGTTAACCCTATGGTATATTAGAGAACATGTTTGACAATGGTTCAATTACTGATATATCCCCTGGAATTTGATTTTGTGTAATGTTATCCAGGATCTCACATCTCAAGTATCCATGGAAAATGACCCAGTTTTACTTCTACCAAAAGTCGTCTCTTTGCTTTATTTGAAGGTCTGTTGACACTGTGCAGTTAACATCTTATATTCCTTGCCACATGAAAATTCTGTTTGTTTTTCCCTGATGAGTTTGTTTTCATTTTGTCATAGATTCATAATAAAGCTCTTCAGGCTCCAGGAAGAGCCATGTCTACTGCTGTTTCTCGGTTGAAGGTAATGCGTACGTGGTTGCATTGTTGCTTCTATTATGTGAGATCTTAAATGCTAGGCTTTTATTCTGGATTTTCATTAAGGACTTGTGCCATACTCGGCATGAGATTCAAACATCAGATAAATCATCCTTGTCCAAACTGTGAAAATCTTAATTGCATCTTGTTATGTATAATTGCATTATTTAGAAATGTCTTGATGTAAAATATCTGTCATCTTGCTGCTTGTAAATGAACAGTTCACAGAATTTCGTTTACAATATGGTGTTATGGTGTTGAAGGGGGTGGAATTATGACACTTTTGTGGTTCTGTTATGGTCATATGTCTGTTATTCTGCATGTTTCTATGTCAAGAAGCAGTGTGTGCTCTCTGAATTCTTCTTCGTAAAGATTTTTTCCTTCTTTAATGGCCTTTCAAAGACTTTTGTTTGTACAACATACCTGTGAAGAAACCACAAAAATATGGTCATTTACTCTACTTTTATTTACCTTTGGGTTGAGACACTTTATCCAGAACACATTATGGTGACTGCTAGGGCATCTGAACAGTGTGTTTTGTCTTCTCTCAGGATAAGTTGGATGATTCGGCTTTCAAAACCTTAATGGACTATCATTCTGCAACGGTGACACTTTTAGCATTGTTGTCAGCATCTACAAATGATGTGAGTGACTATAATATGTTCAAGTTTGATTGCTGATTCTGTTATTAAATTTTGCCTTGCTTGTCATCTAGATTCTCAGGGATAATCATCTTGTTATCTTTTCTATTATTGAGGAACTAATGGCCCCACCAGGATTTTCATCAACAACAACATGCATATTTATTGTAGTGGCCTAAATTTTTTTTCTTTTTTCCTGAGAACATTGCCCCATGAAATTGGAACTTAGGGGTGGGTTGTGTTCTGAGACATGAATTTGGTGTTGATCTTGTCATGAAATAGTGCTCCCCTCATACCAATGTTAATGGGTTGATACAAATTTGCCAATCTTTTTAAATAGATGCCTGAGTTTTTTGTTTTTTTTTCTTTTCTTTCCATTGATGTAATTTCTCTTACATTTAGCCAACTCACTTACTCACTTAATATATCAGGAAGACGACTGTGCATCAGACAGGATTGCAACCAAGAAGGAGCTTCTGGAGAGCCTGATGCCAATGCTGAAAAGTTTAGTTTTGGGAAGTACCCAACCTCAGGTTGCTGCTAGCTGATCACTCTGACTTACATGGTCATTTTAAGAATCAGATTGGAAAGACGGGTTTATTACAAATACTTGCCCAGTAGCAAAAGCCAAAGAAAAATTACTACCTAATTACCACAGCACATTGCAAATATTCTTTAGCATTGTATCAATCATGCAGCTTTTAGGGTATTTAGCAAATATTGTACATTAGTATCTACTCTTTAGTTATAAACTGTTGACTTTGAAGCTTTTAGATTAATATCCTTGCTAATAAAGTGGATTTTTTTTATTTTTATTTTTTACTTTTATTTTTAAATAACTAGCATCAACGTTGCCTTTGTAACTTTACCCTCTAGTTAAATTGAAAATTAGAACTTAGGCGTTTGTTCTGAGACATGAACTTAGTGTTGATCTTATCATGTTTCAGCAGTACTAAACTACTAATACATTGGGAACCGGTTTAAATTGAAAAATGGACAGTATTCAGTTCAAATTTAATCAATCAATTAGGTTTCCAAATTGAAAGTTTTAATTTTTAAACTTTGTTCTGATTCAGTCCAATACCCCTTTAAAATTGGCTTTACAGCAGATCATATACAAAACATGATACGGAGTAAGAGTTTATGAGGCTACTCAATTCATCAATTAACAAATCAGTCTACTTTGTTACAACTTCTTTCATTATTTATTTTTTAAAAATTAAACCTTCTTCCACCACCATGCCACCAGCATCACAGCCACCCTAAACCTATCAGAACTACCACATTTCTTTGTTATCCTGCCGATCTACTCATTTCGTGTTGTCCTCTTCTTCTTCCTTTCTCAACAATAATAGCCTCAATCCCTAAAAAGACACTGGCAAAGAGTGTAAAGTAGGATCATACTACTGATTTAGGATCAACATCTCTTCTGCGCCGACATTCTCAACCGCAATTGGCGTTTGTGGTGGTGGCGTTGGTGTGGCTAGTAGAGGAAGAGAGCCTATTATGTACACCTTGGGTCATTTGCTCAGGCATACAGTACACCTGAGTGTATATAAGCAAATAAGGTAGAGAAAGAAGGTGGTTTCTCATTATTCGTCGACCTTAGGTCCTTAGCCTCGTTGTTTTCATGCTGTTAGGGCCTGTTCTGATTTACTGAGCTAAAGAGAAGGAAATTGAGAACTCAAATGAACTGAAATAATTGGAGCTGATTTGAAAATAAGCTAAAAAGAACGGTCCCTTAATCATGTAAATTTACTTTACTTCTCCTATTTAACCCAGAAAAGACAACTTCACCCCACCTAAACATAACTCGTACAAGCAGGCTGATGAACTTAAATTTTGCTAGAGTTTTACCCAAATAAAAATAGGTCTGGCCCAATATCCTCCTAATCATCGTCTTCGTCTTCTTCATCTTTAAACCCTAAAAACCTCTGCACTCTGCAAATTACACCAAATTCCGCCATTGATAAACTCTCAACCTCAGCTAAAACCAGGGCCAAAAAATGCAGCTCTTCGACCTAAACATTCCATATTCAGAATCAAATAAACAAACTCGCTTGAAATTAGTTGTCAAAGCAATGGAGTTAGGTTATTCTGGAATCGCTTTCAATCGTACAATTAAAGGTGTAATGTCGGAATCCGATCGTTGTACAATTTCTCCATTTCCTCTTTTCTCTCCTCAACTGTTTCCTTTCATCGTCGTCTCCTCGGAGTTCCCGAAAAGTCTGCGTTTCGTCAGTACACTCGTTTGACAATGTCGGTTGAAACATCTGCTCAAGCTTCTGCTTTGAATTCGGGTAATCCGATTCTCAAGACTTATGATTTGATCGCTGTTAGACCTTTGAATCAGAATTCTTTTGATATTGCTTGTCAATCATCTCAGGTTTTTTTCATCATATTTTTTCTTTTTCAATTGCATTTATCGCTTTAATGGATAACTTTGGAATTTTAATTTTGTTGAATTTTCTGTTGATAGGTTGATTTGATTACGATTGATTTTGCTGAGAAATTGCCGTTTCGACTGAAACTACCTATGGTTATAGCTGCTATCGCGGTTTGAATCTCTCTCTTTGTGTGTTTGTATTGTTTTCTGTGTATTTGTTTGATTGAAATGGAAATTGAATTCGAATGCGCAGCGAGGGGTTTACTTTGAGATTATGTACTCAAGTCTTATGCAAGATGTTCAACTGAGGAGGCAATTGATTTCCAATGCCAAGGTGTGATGATTGTTGATTTATAATATAGCTAATATTTATTTAACATTGATATTTACTGCTAATTTAGTGATATTATGGAATTGTGATAAACACTAATTGTTGGATTGTAATTGTTTTGCCTTGAAAACGAGTTGCGAAAATGTTGCATGACATGTATTTTGGAAGTACCTCGAATATTAAGTATCTCTTATATGTGAGTATTAGCAGTAGTGTTATTTGTCAGTGTCAAGGAAGGTTTTGCTATTTTTGTTGAAAAAATTGATCCAGTGTATGACTACAAAAATAAGGGTATTTGAATGTTGCTATTGTGATTAGAACTACTGCTTTTGTTATTAGGGAAAACTCGTTTGCGGTTGGAGAGGGGTTAATATGTGTAGTTGACTAGTTGTTGAACTTTTCTTATACCATATTCATAAATAACTCGAGCAATTTATTGACATCAGTTATTGGTGGAGTGGACTCAAGGCAAGAACTTAATTGTATCCAGTGCTGCTCCTTCAGTTCTTGAGCTTAGAGGTCCAAATGATGTGACTAATCTATTATCGTTGCTTGGGCTTTCAAATGAGTGTGCGAAAGCGACTATATCTAAGAATTGCAGGTTTGCTTTCATTTTTGAAACCTCTATTCCTGCATCTATTTTCCTCTTCAGGCAAGCTTGGGGGGCATGATTAGTGCTTGATATATGTCACTTGCTGTTACCCTTTTCCTTACAACTACCTGTATTTTTTACCCTGCTAACTGTTACTAACCGATGGTATAAGGACAAAGCAGTTTTACAAAGAGGCAATGAGAGTTGATTTGATGCAACCTGGAGTGCAAACTGGTCCTAAAGAGCCTTGGATTGTTGATCATATTGATTGGGATCCTATTTCTAGTGGCGAAGGTGATTTGTTTTTAGATGATATGGAAAAGGCAATTGCCGAGTCTGGAAAAACTTCCAAAACCATTAAAGGCATTGATTCTTCTTCTATTGATGTTCATATGTCATCACATGATTTAAAATTAAACGATACAAGTTTTAGAGAAGAGGGTAAACAATGTATGTCCAGTAACTTTACAGAATTTAAGTCAACTTCCAAGGATCTCGAGGTGTTAAAAAAGATTGAGAAATTGCAAAGTGAGCCTACTTCTATGTGCAGCATGGATCAACAGGGCAATGCTGCTGAAAACAATAATCAAGCAGTTCTGCTTGAATCTCTGCTGGCTTGCAATAATGATGAGGATGACAGTATTTATTCTGCAATAGCTCTACAAGAGTTGAAGAGCTCTGATGCACTTGAAACCACCACCTCTCCATTTCTACATAAATTAGCGCCGCAGGATCATGTTAATAATGCAGAAAATGTATTGAGTGATAGTTTGAAGGAAATAACTTCAAAAGATGATGGTTTGGATGTGGGCTGTATTGCTGGTTCAAGGAAGGAGGCCTTGGTGAAATCTGAGGGTCTTAATTGCAATGGTTTACAGACTGATAAATTGAAGTTAGCTTCTGATGTGTTGAACAGTACAGATGCTGAGATCTCAACTGAGATGTTATCCTTTGATCAGTCATATATATCATACATTTCTAATTCATCTTTAGATGGAAAACCTCTGGAACCACAAGAAGATTCAGTAGCTGATAAAAACTCGACTTTACCTGCTAGAAATGTCATGGATTTGGACTCATTTAGTGAGAGAAACAGTAGTGATTATTTACTACATTGTGATCAGCAACCACTGGATGAGGTGGAAGAAATTGAGGAGCATAAGGGAGATCACACTGAAGTCAAAACTGATTCTAAAGAGTTTATAGTTGCCGATACCATGCTACCATTGGATCCTCACCAACATGAAAAAAATGGAAATGATCTTTTAGTTGCAAAATCTATGTTTTCAGATGACATGATGAAATGTAGAAAACACGTTCAAGAGGTTGGTGAAGCTGATCATCAATATTTGGGCAAAAATAAATTAGGTGATGTACTAATCCTATCTTGTTATTATAGTGTAATTTGTTTATGTTCTCGTTGCATATTCTTTCTATTGCTTCGTTAAATTCTTGACTGAAGTTCAACCAATACACCAACCATCATGCAGTATATCATTATTATGTAATCCTCCCTAAGTAGTTTTTCTTTGATGTTGATGTTGTTAAGGGAGGTTAGAAAAGCTGCCGGAAAACAGAGGAATTAAAATCTACATATTTGTGTTTCTTGGAAATAGATTCTCTAAAGTTGTTTTACTTCCTGTTGAATAAATGCATCCCTTGGGATTGTGCGGAGTTTTTTGAGTGTTTGTTTGTAGCAGTGTTATATTGTGCAAGTGGGTAATTTAATTATTTTAATGAAAAGATAATGGGGATCGTGAAACTATGAAAGAGGGGATGTGAAAGAGATTGTTTTTATTTTTATTTTTTTAAAATTTTTATTATATATATATTTTTTTTTTATATTTACTAAAGTGGGGACCATGAGAGTGATGATTATATTTTTTTAGTGGAATAATGGGAAAAGAGTGAAATGATAAAATATGGTAGAAACTTACCAGGAATAGAAGTAATCATTTATTTTGGAACGGACGATTAAGACAAGTGGTGTATTCATTCCTGAAATGATGCTTTTGCTAACTGTCTATACGCTATAAAATGCAGGTAATCATAAGGTGAAGCGACGGGATACAGGCAAAGCTATTAGGTTTCCTTTTAAGCGGTTATTTCAAGTTCAATTTAAGAAAAGAAATTCTTTCCTCAAGACCAGGAAGAGGTCAGTATAGGGAGAAATTTTGAAGTTTTTCTGGGGCTGTGTTGGCTGTTGTACATGTCAGGCAGTATATACAAATTTATGAGCTTTGTTATTACCGGCCTTTTGTCTACATCATGTATTCATGTACTTGTGCAACATAAATTCTGTAGAAGAGATTTTCTTATCATGAGCTCATATTTTCATAGTTGGACAATTGCATTACTTCTCATTATCTGACCTACGTTATATTTGAGACTTAAGGTTGTACAAATAACTTCACCTATTTTCTTAAATAAGATGTTCAAACCTTCTCAAACCTGTATTATCTTTTGGTCCTTCACAGGTCCATGTAGCCATATGGTTGTGAGTCCATGAGCCATAATGAAAGTTCAGCTTGATTTGTTTGGGAGTTTGGGGGGGCCCCAATAAGAGTTAACTTAAACCTTTGTTCACGATTACTTGTCTGAATAAGACTAAAGGATTAGAAATTAGTCCAATGTGAGAAAACTTGATAATAAAACAGAAAACTGCAGGATTGGGAAGTAAAAAAGTTCTTTACTTAAATTAAGACTATGAAGTCCTTCCTTTGATCCCTACTTTTTTGAGTTGAGGGACAGCTGACTATATATCCTTGCATTTCCTTAGCTGAAATGATGGTCTTACTTGCTTTTTTGGTACGTTTATTTTTTTAATATCCTATAACATTACTGTAATTTCCTACTCTATCATTAGAAATTGGGTATTAACTGACTAATGCAAATGATTAAGGGCTTTTTTTATTTTCTTTGTTTTTTGTAAGTTCGGGAAAAATGAAGGATATTTACTATTTAGGAAACCACAGGAAAATTAATCCTGGGAAGTTTATTGAAGTTAACCCTTCTACATTTTCCAAAAATTTATGGAAATTGCCACTGTTACTTACAATATTTACATATAAATGTTTAATTTTCTAGAACTCTTGAGCGTAGCTTCCATTTTATTAGAGTACTTCATATATAACTACATCCAAGCAATCATCTTTTGTATTGTAACTGTGCCAAGACACCATAGTTTGGATCTTGCTTATTAGATATAGTCTTTAAGATGCATTCTAAGGCTGCTGGAGTAGGCATATTAGTATCAAATAAATATTTTGGAGAGAGAATACCTTACAATGTTACAGGTTCTCACTATGAAGCTGAAGCTATGTGTGAAATAAGCGCAACTTTATTTATTTATTTCTAAATTTTTTTCATTTTTTTGTTTAGTGTGCCTCACGGCCCTCACTTCAGTAAGGTGCACTGGCCTAAATTTGCTTCTTGAAATCATCATCCACACCAATTATTATTATTATTATTATTTTATAACATTATATGTAAAAAAGGCTATTTAAAAATCTTCATTTTTATCCGATAAAAGATCATTGGGATTTTTAATTTTACATTAAGAAAAGAATTAAATAACAGGGACCTGTAAAAGAAGCATGTACTCAAGAAAAATCTCCTGCTTAGACTAACAATCTTGACCTTTAGTTTTTTCTCTCCTTAACAAATTATCTTGACCCATTTCTTCTAGAGGAAAAAATTTGAGTGGACTTGAATGGGTAAGTGGCTTTGTTAATTCCAATACTAGAGTCTGGTAACGTGTGAGAGGATAGCTACTTTAAATTGAGTTTGAAAATTTCCACCGACATACTCTTTATTTATTTAATGGTGGCTCTTGAATAAGATATCTTGGGAGGGTGTTCCTAACTCTTGCTTATTTCTTACCTCAATTTGGAGTGGTGAATAGGAAAACCACATGTCAAGTTCCTTGAATTTTTGCACACATAATTCTTATTTGATCTCCTGTGTTTACCCCTCCGAATGAGATGATTGAGTGTAAGAGATAGGGTAAGTGATATGGGAGGGAGTGGTTTATGGAGGGTGGACCTATAAAAAGAGATGGAAGAAAAATATTTCTTTGGAGAAGTAACAAGGTATTGCTTGATGAGGAGGCGTATAAACCATTTGCTGTGACACTATTTGGCTTACTCTAGCATGATCATTTTATTTTGCCTGCTACTGATTTGTCCATGACCTGTGATTAACATACTTTTGTTGAATCATTTTATGTATCGACTCTTCTAGGTGGACTAGGTCATAGAAAATAAGCATGGTCATGTAGTCACATGTACAATATCTCATGATTTTAATTAATTATTCATTTTTATTTTTGTAGACACCAGAGAAAATCTCACAAGTGATGTGTCACCTTATTTAGTATATGAAATTTAACGAGAACCCTCTGTACTGGTGATTTTGATTGTATTGTCTGCTTTATTGCTCTTGCAGTATTGTTCTTTAATGGATGTCTCATTGTGATTTCAAAACACTTGTCACAGAAAATAATATTGTCGAATGGAGTTATAATCCGCTGCACAGTGGTCTTTACATTATAAAACAGCCTTTCTTGATTTTTATGATTCAAGTGGAAATTCCGTAATTAGGTGTTTGGTTATTTGTTGTATGACCAAAATAAACAAGAAGATGGGATGAAAATTTATATATGCTTATTGTGGATTCCATTGATAATATTTGCAGGTCAAGATTCACTGTCAGGTATGCTCTATTCTTCTAAATGACCTCAGTGCATCCACCATAGTATTACATGCTCATCCACCCCCCAGAAAAGCTCTTTAGGAATTTGTGAATCGGGTTATAGTATGCTGGTGTACTTGTTGAATATTTGAAATTATATTATATAGCCAATTATGTTCCCATACCCATTCATGTGCTTGCACAATAGAACATACCGTATTCCAATACACTGGTCCATCCAATGAAATTATTGCTGAAATATTTTGTTTCTGCTGTGTAAGACTCTGAATTCTTCATGGCTAAGCAATTGGGGACTATTACTTGTTTCACTGGAGGAGATGGGGTAGTGGATTAGTCAATTCTATTTATAATGTTATGTTATAGCGGCTATTACAAAAATTCATCTAGTCTGATACTTTGCATTTTGCTTGGAAGGCATCTTATGATGGAGACTCGTCTTTCAGTAAATAGACCCATAAACCTGATTATTTAAGGTTTATAGCCTTTTTTTGTCATTACTTAATCCACTTGTATATACAAAAGTACCATGCCTTCCTATGCCTTTAATCTTAATGATTGTGTTCTCTAGATTAAAGGATTCCTAGAATATACTTGAGGAACATTCCTTTTTTACCCAGCTGCTTCCTTGTCTTTAGCATTTAGACCTCACTGTCAGATTGTATGTGTTGCTGCTCAATTCAATTGTGAAGGTGGATCATTCTTGTTTTTGCTACTTCGTATTATTTTAATAAAAATATTTTCTTTTGTTTTTCACTGTTTGGTGTTGGAGATGAGAAGCTAACAATATAATTGCCTTTGTATACCTTCTTTCCAACCAGAAGTGGATTTTCTTGCAGGGAATAAATGCATAGGGATACGGCATCAGGTCTTGCTACCTGAGCTAGAGAAACCTTACAAAGTTCCTGCCTTGCACTAGCTTATAAATAAACAAGCTTAAAGGAAGCTGGTACTGAGTAAATCTTTGCTGAAATTGGTGCGTGTAAATCCCTAGGTGTCCCCATGAGGTTTTAATTTATTTTCATGATTAAACGTGTGATTCCTTTTTTTCTTTTAATACTTCCTGGATTCTACTGCAAGTTTCCCAACTCTTTTGCTAACTGATAGAAGTGCTACTCATGTGCTAGCTGCGTATCTTATGTTATATTTCTAGTGGGACATAGGCACATAGCCTTACCGGCACCTGGAAGTATAATGGTTAACAAAATAATTATAACAATTGGCGGCTGCTGCTTGTATGATTTATCATCTGAATAATTTGTGTGCATCTTATTCTATAATGAAAGATAATGATAATTTTTAACAACTAATGCCTTTTCCCATTTAATAGGGGTCAGGTAGGTTGCGGCTCCATGTCGATCTAAGAAGTAAGCATTATGTCGGTCAGTAACTTAATTCTTTTCCTCTTTTATCATCTTTTTTTATTTTGTCATGTGCATAGCCATTTTCTGTTCTATGTGATTTCTAAATTATAAGATTGTGATGGTCCTATCCTCCAGAGTCCAGGCCACTATCTTTTGGGGGATTTTCTAGCTATCAGACTACAGATGTTTTATTATTCTCTAGTTCATTCCGATAGGTTTTATCTTCTTTTCTCCTGATATATACCGCTTGACAATATTTTCAAGAGCTTAAATAGTTAAATTATTATAATTTCACTTATATTCGAATTCAAACTGTCTAGAATTTAGTGCAATTTTGGTATATTCTGAAAAATGTTGGTATTTGCAACTTTCCTTTGTTAATAGGAAGGAGACAAAATACTAAGTTGCTTTTGTGATTTAAAAATGCAAAACTATGTAAAACTACCAGCTTAAAATTGTGTGAATTAATCTCGAGGAAGGTAACCATTATTATATGGTGTACATTAAACATATATATATAAAAATTTGTGTGATATTTATTTACATGCCAAATTTTCTAGAGTCCAACTTTGATATTTAAGACAGTTAACATCTTTGAATGTATTCCCCCTGTTCTCCCCCCTTATCTCAGTCAGTCACAACATAAAAGGGGGTTGCACACTTGCACGGTATTTTTGGAGACCTATGTGATAAAGAGATCGATAGATTGACAGAATCATTGGCCTAATAAAACAACATTGCAAATTATATCCTAAAAAGGAATATGTTGCTATTTAGAAAGGAGGAAGTATTGTGTTTTGGACACGTTTGTATGGTTAATAATAGGGGTGGATGTATATACAACAAACCGGAGTCTGAAGTTTCTAAATATTAATTGAAGACTATAATACTTGAAATAGTTACTAAAAAGAAATATGCTAGGCATTTGACTAATATGAAGTAAAAACTGAAAGCTAAAAAACTACCAATGACATGATAGGTGTCCACATTATTAGTTAAAAAAAATAATCATTTACAGTACAAATTTTAGATTACACCGTGGGTTGGTAACCATTTGATGATACTGTAAACCATATTCTGAATACACCGCGGGTTATAACCATTTGATGACACGATGAAGGCATTGGGCTTACATAGAGTATGAATTATTTTATATTAATCTAATCATCTAGAAAATTGGCTAGCAATTCCGTCAAAGACGGGCAGGTAGTTTTACTAATATTATAATATGTTAGTTCCACGAGCGGCCGACAAAAGGGAAGTTGGCCGCCAAAATAGAGATTTTTTTGTCATAGTTTTTGCTGATTATCATTATGAGTTTCATCAATATAATATGCTGAGTATGCATAATTAAGTGTAATCATATTATTAGTGTTACGGATTAAAATATGTAGAGATATTACAGCATTCTTACTAAAAGCCTGTCCAACTTTTATTTAATGTTCTATGGGGCCAAATAATGGCATAGAACTTGAACTAGTTCTTAATTGATTGGGGCATTCAAAATGGTGTACATTTACTTTTACATGCATGACCCCGTCATGCAAAATACTATGCAAACTACTTTGAATGCTTATCAATTCTAGTACCATGTTACTTAGGATACTTCACCCACCAGAATTATATACATGATGAATTCCTAGGATTGCTGCTTGCTGTATGCTGCAATTTGAAAACAATGTTTGACACTTAAAAGTCTAACAAGCATTCTAACTGATAATGGACATTCTTCAAGGAACTAAATTTGTTGAAAGGGAGTTCAGGAGATGAATCCACTGCCCTTCATCCTCATCATCTTCATCGCCTGCCATCTGATTCCATTGTAGGTCTTGGAAAGTGGTAGGCTGTTCGATTTCATCGTTCCTTGCAAATCGACCCCGTATTCTTGGCCTGCTGTCTGCTAATGTCTTCCTGCATGCGTACTGATGGCCAAGCATTGCAACCATTGAAGAGTTAGTTAGGTGGTCTTTCTGTGCTATATGACAAAGATATAAAATGCTATCAAATACAAATTAATCATCTGGACTAGGGTTTGTAGGTTTTGCTAATGATAATTGAAATTCAGTGTTTGATTTGCTTCATACACGATTAATACCTGGTTGTTCTACTCATTTTAATCTACAGTGCTATTTAGATGACTGACTATCTTTACGCTGAATATGTTTTGGCTTTCTCATGTCACCAAATCCTTTAATTTCAAGGGGCTATTCATTTAACATAACTTAGTATGATTTTGTCTTGAGTTGGACATGTTTCAATTTACCAGGTTAATATTGTGGTTATGCTGGCTAGAATATTGGAATCTTGAAGAATGTACAGTTTCAAGTCTTACCTGAATTTTCTTGTTGAAATTTCTCTGGTTTCTCTTGCTGCGGTACCTCTCAATTCTTTCTTTTTTCTCTTCAGGACTGTAGCGACATGCCTTAGTCATACCTTCAATGATAATGCTCGTACTTTCATTTGCTAATGGACTTCCAACCGGGTGGTGGTGGCGTAAGGTTTGGAGTCCCTGTCACAAGAATGAACAACCATGTTAACTAGAAGGAATCTGGTTTTAAAAGTAAGTGGCGTTTCCTGATCTATGTATAATTGTATATATTGTCGTTTTAATAGATTTCCTAAGTTGTAACTAATTAGATCATATCATTAATTTTTGGGTCTTTTCAACATAGTTTAAAATGATTTGAAGAATTACCTGATCCAAATCACCTGTGCTAAAAACCCTTCTAACTGACCCAATATCCAGGTCATGAAGTCCAACGGGAGATGAAACATGCTGGTAAAACCCGTTTTTATGGAGTGAGTGGCTACTAAGGCTTCGCTGCATCAAAGAAGCAGAAGTATTTGGTGGGTGACTACTGGTACAACTTAGAGGTGAATTTGGTGAGCCTATATAACTACTGCTGGTACACCCGCTCCCTGTACTTGTATTCCCATTGGCGTTTGCTAGCATGAAAGCTTCATTAATAGAATCAAAATCGCCAGCAAGAGACTGGACTAACATTGGCGATAAATTAGAGGGGTAATTTTGGTTAATGAAATCAGTGGAATGATCAACAAAAGAGCCGTTATTATGACAATACATGGTTAGTGTTTTTTTTTTTTCAGAAATGAAATACAAGATCTTGAAAATTCAATTGAATATAAATGAAGATTCTTTGTGCTCTTGCCAACTTATATATATATATATATATATATATATATATATATATATATATATATATATATATATATATATATATATGAGATTATTGTTAGGAGCTTTTCTCTAATGCAAAAGCGTTGACTCATTACCTACATTCTTGTCTCTCTAGCAGTACCAGTGTACCACCACTTCCTGAGTTCCCCACCCAAAAAAGTAATTACAGTATCCTTTTCCTTAATCTATGTTAATCATACCTTAATAAAGAGTTTTTAATCTCATGTAAAGTCTAATCAATCCTCTTATTTTACACTGCTGTCTTTTAACTTTATGATTATATTTTATATAGTACTAATTTTTGCCTCAGGGGACACTTAAAGGTTTCATCTAGGAATTAACTTAGGCTATGTTTCATGATCTAATTATCGATAACTATAAATTCTAAGTGAAATTCTATTATGTTCAATTAGCTCAAAAGAGAGTTAGATGTCCTTTATTTTTATCTAAAACCTTCAAATATTTGCGAAAATAGAATTTGTTAATTATTTGTTGGTTGGTATGTTAATAAAATTGTATATTTTTATCATCTAAAATCAAAAGTAAATTTTTTTTCCCATGTGTTCTATAGGTAGTAATACTAATAACAGGCTAAATACAGTAAAAACTAAAAAGAAAGGATGGAAAAAGAAAAAGGGCCCAAAGTGAAGATAAGCAACAGTAAAAAGATAGAAAACGAAAACCCCACCCAAACCCAATTTTATTTTGATTCTCTTTCCGGCGGGGGTCTACGGAACATAGACTCGTTGAGAAAGAGACTCAATTTGCAGCATTTTATCCTTTTTATATTCAGCCCCCATGTGAATACCATATTCCACATAATATAACACACTATATTTTTTTCATTTTTTTATTTTTAAGTTGTATTTTTATTACTACTTTCGTTTTTAAATACTTGCTACATTTAAAATACAAATTTATAAAATATTAAAAAAGTTTTTCAAAATAAAGAATCGGAGCAAAAACTTAAAAACTGACCGACAATGAAAAGTGGAGCAAATATTTAAAAACAGAGAGAGCATGTAGATTTGATAAAATATAGAATAAAATTACCAAATATAAGTGATGAATTTAATTATAAAAAAAGTAAAACACCCTTTTTAAGGAAAGCAATGCATTTTAAAATAAACGGAGAAAGTATATAATAAGACATGTAATTCATCGGTCTTGTAATAACTAATAAGTGTAATTTGAGTATTCGATAGCCTTTTTTTTTTTTTTTGGTGTAAAGTTATAAGATTTAATGATTTATGAGTACACGATATTTAACATATTAAGGATTTGTTTTCTTTAGCTTATTTTCAGTTCATTTTAATTCAGCTCCGATAAATTAAGTTCAGTTTAGTTCTTAATTTTCTCATAAAATATTCAATTAAATTCAACTCCAATAAATTCAGTTCGGGTAAGCTCAGTTCAGTAAATCAGAATAGGCCCTAAGTTGTATTCTTCAAGACTTTAATTAACTTAGTGACATCCATTATGACCTAATATTCTTATAAATGTAGATATGTTGATTTTTTGATGTGAAATTTTAGCATCTTAAAAGTGTATAATTTGAATTCGTATTGATATGTAATTCTCAAATGTAATACAAGTATATGTAACACTTAATTTGAGACAAAAGAGAATGACTTTTTTTTTTTTTTTTTTCAATCTGTGTTACTAGCTTTGTTAAAGCTTAAAAATCTATGGTGTTTTCATTTACTCATATGTAATAAGTTAATTAATCTCAAAAAATGTAGTTACATTTTTAGTAATAAACCATTTAAAATTTAGGATTAAGAAAAACTTACATGATTGCAGCCATTCAATGATTCAATCATGCCATTGAGGTATTTTAACATTGTAGATGAGAATGAAGATCGAACAGGTTTTGCCTCATCAGTGTCATCAGATTGAAGCTGATCAAAATTAAGGATTTTTTTTTTTCCTAAATTATTTCCTGATTTGGATACATAAACTTTATCTAGGATTGTAAAATCTTACCTACCAAATATATATATATATAAATAAATAAAATGTTTGTACAACTTTTTAATTGATCAAAACTTGCTATCATTATTATCTCAAAGACATAGTTATCTTTCCAAGCATGCTTCTTAATCAAAACATGACTCTTGTTGCTTTCTTGATGCATGCTTGCTACAACTTTTAATTTTTAATCCTACAAACATTTTGATAACCTCTTTTCTTAAATTTGTTTCAAATACACATTTTCGAAATAACATTTTATAATTTTTTTTCTTAACACAAAACTACAGTTATTAATAATGATAAAAAGAAAATTACACTAAAGGCCTGTTCTCATACGTTTATTTTCAGTTCAGTTTAGCTCGGTTTAGTTCAGTTCAGCTCCTAATTTCCTTCTCTTATAAAATATTCATTTCAGTTCAGCTCAGTTCAATCTATGAGAATAGACTCTAACAAACATAATCTGAATAAGTACGTATGTGAATATGACGAAAAGAAATAGAAGGAGCACTTGTCATCAGCAAACTAATTCGATAATTTATACTCTTAAAAAGTAATCTATGTGAAATTACATGACCTATTAGGACTTGTTCTGATTTATTGAAAATAACTAAAGTGAACTGGTTGGGGCTGAACTGAACTGAATAGAGTTGCAATGAATTGTTTATGAGATAAGGAAATTAGCAACTGAACAAAACTGGACTGATTGAAATTGAACCGAACTAAAATTAAGCTGAACTGAACAGAACTGGACTGATTGAAATTGAACCGAACTAAAATTAAGTTGAACTGAACAGACCCTAAATCAAAGTCTCCTTTGTGCAAAGTTTTACATAAATGAAAATAATTAAAGTGGTGATTCAACCATTTATGACTTCAATATCCCAAATACAGCATATCAGCGTAACTTGAAACACCGTGTGACCGAAGTTAATTATTCAAGGGTTACTTGTCAGGAGCTACTTAGTCTGTCAGGGCTCAAGGGTTATTTATTTAGGAGTTACTTAGTCGGTTAAGGGTTAATTATTCAGAGGTATTTAATCGGTCATAAGTTACTTATAAAAACTACTCAGTCGGTTAGGAGTTACTTAACCCCTTAAATAACCCCGACCACACGGTGACCAGCCACATACAGAGTATAAAAATTTAGATGAAAAATTTCCCATAATATTGTTTGTGTAGGGGACCTCAGCTCAGTCAGTGGCATCAGATTCAGCACAGTTTCAAAACGGGCCGGGTACCCATATAAGATCAAAATAAAGCTGGAAAACATACACTACATAATGTACAGTGAAATGATGTAGAATATGGACTTTGAAGCAATATAGATATATAGGCAGGTACATTACATTACTATATGAATGTGATAGAGAGCAACTAACTAGATTGAAAGTACCTTGACGTTTCATTACATGGTTGGGCAACGACCAATTCAGAATCAATGGGCTTCCATCATTCCTTTTTGCATGAATACTTACATTACATTACACATGGAGTAGAGTACAACCTTTTTTTTTTTTTTCCTCCAAAACTTTTAATAAAACTAGTAAAGGTACTCCATCAAAAGTTATGCTCGAATAAATAAAAATTAAACTATTTTACTATTTTTTTTTATTTTTTTTTTTTGGTGTTTAAAGAGCCACAAGGACAGGTGATAGGAATCGATCTCAGGATCACTTAAAATTGGGAGGGGAGCTCTTTGAGCTATCCCTCACTCTTTTAATTATTAATAATGTTAATTCATTTTATAAAAAAAGTTCAATTCCAGTGTTGTGTGAAGCTAGGTTATCATATTATAAAATTTATCTCATGGCCTAATTACCTTAAAATCAAATTAGGTTTAAAGCTACTCTAAAATTGTTTGATTATTACTCCGTATTGTACACCCCTTGTACACAAATGTACGTAAGAAGTTTTAATTTGTTTCCTTTTAACCCATGTTTTATTTATTTATTTATCTTTAATTTTTTTTTCATGGTTTGTCTTGTCACTTTCATATAATTTCATTCCCTCCCAATATATTTTTGTCATTATAACAACTTGATCATTTGCCCTCAAAAAAAAAACTTGGTCATTTTATTTGTCGCCCTATCATTGGAAGGTTTTTCTGACATTAAATGATGGAATTTTTTTTCTGTAGATCTTGTTCATTTTTGCCAATTTTTTCTTAAGATTTCTTATCATAGATAGTCGTTTAATCATGACTAGAATATGAGAAATTCTCAACACTATTAGGGTATTGTTAATAATGACTACAAATTGAAAATAATTATTCACCACATGTTAGTAAATCCCTTTATTATTACTACTGTGCTAGAAGAGGGGAAAAAAAAGGAAAGAGGAAAAATAATGTATGTACTTGTATTTTGCATAACTTTTGCATCTTGTAATTTAATTATATTGACAGTAATCATGCACACAATATTATTGAAGGTGAACAAATTTAAAGGGGTTATATTTTTATATTTGTATACTCATTATGTATGTCAGTATGTGTACGTTGCTCATGTATGTTACTATGTTAGCATGAAGTATGACTTGTGACAAAGTTGTATGGCCGTGTTTTGTGCACTAATTACTTTCAAAAGTTATCAACTTAGTATATTATGTGTAAACTTAGAATAGCATATAATTCACATTATTTACTTTTGAAAGTTATCGGGTAGTATGATATTATGTTTAAACTGAGAATAGCCTGTAATTGTTAATTGTTTCCATTACGTACTTACGTAATTGAGTAGTAGATTATGTGTTTATTGAGATGTTAGAATATTAGATAGCTTGCATGTAATGTTCTAGTTAGTATCTCGTGGGACACTCTAAAAATAAGAGACCAATATGTAGTAGTGTATGCCTAACGTTGGCCTAATTAAAGAGTTGAAGTGGAAGTAGAGAAGAGTTGAAAGGCAA